GGAAAAACAAAAAAGATTGGCAACAGTTGTTAGCCCAGGTGCCAATCTTTAAAAAAAAAAAAAAGAAAAGAAAAAATGCCTAGAATTATTAAACTTAACCAAAGAGGTGAAAGATCTGTACACTGAAAACTATAAAACATTGTTGAGAGAAATTGAAGAAGACACAAAGAAATGGAAAGATATTCCGTGCTCTTGGATTGGAAGAATAAACATAGTTTAAATGTCCATACTTCCTAAAGCAATCTATAGATTCAATGCAATCCCTATCAAAGTTCCAACAACATTTGTTCATGGAAATAGAACAAAGAATCCTAAAATTTACATGGAACAACAATAGACCCCAAATAGCCAAAGGAATCCTGGGAAAAAAAGAACAAAGCTGGAGATATCACACTCCCTGATTTCAAAATATACTGCAAAGCTATAGTAACCAAACAGCATGGTACTGGGACAAAAACAGACACACAGACCAATGGAACAGAATCAAGAGCCCAGAAATAAACCCACACATCTGTGGACAGCTAATTTTTTTTTTTAAGATTTTTTTTTTTTTCCTTTTTCTCCCCAAAGCCTCCCCCCGGTACATAGTTGTATATTCTTCATTGTGAGTCCTTCTAGTTGTGGCACGTGGGACGCTGCCTCAGCGTGGCCTGATGAGCAGTGCCATGTCCGCACCCGGGAATCGAACCAACGAAACACTGGGCCGCCTGCAGCAGAGCGCGGGAACTTAACCACTGGGCCATGGGGCCAGCCCCAAGACAGCTAATTTTTAACAAGGGAGCCAAGAACATACAACGGAGAAAGGAAAGTCTCCTCAATAAAAGGTGTTGGGAAAACTGGACAGCCACATGCCAAAGAATGAAAATAGACCATTATCTTACACCATATATAAAAATTAACTCAAAACAGATTAAAGACTTGAATGTAAGACCTAAAACCATGAAAATTCTAGAAGAAAACATAGGCCACACGCTCTTGGACATCAATCTTAGCAGCATATTTTCAAGAACCATGTCTGACCGGGCAAGGGAAAAAAAAGGAAAATAAACAAATGGGACTACACCAAACTAAAAAGATTCTGCACAGCAAAGGAAACCATCAGCAAAACGAAAAGACAACCTAACAGTTGGGAGAAGACATTTCAAACCATGTATCTGATAAGGGGTTAATATCTAAAATATATAAAGAACTCATACATCTCAACAACAAAAAATCTAATAACCCAATTAAAAAATGGGCAAAAGATCTGAGCAGACATTTTTCCAAAGAAGATATACAGATGGCCAACAGGCACATGAAAAGATGCTCAACATCGTTAACTATCAGGGAAATGCAAATCAAAACTACAATGAGATTATCACCTCACTCCCATCAGATTGGCTGTAATTAACAAGACTGGAACCAACAAGTTTTGGAGAGGAAGTGGAGAGAAGAGAACCCTCATACACTGCTGGTGGGAGTGCAAACTGGTGCAGCCACTATGGAAAACAGTATGGAGATTCCTCAAAAAAAAATTAAGAATAGAACTACCACGTGATCCAGCTATTCCACTGCTGGGTATTTATCCAAAGAACGTGAAAACACGAATGCATAAAGATATGTGCACCCCTGTGTTCATTGCAGCATTATTCACAATAGCGAGGACTTGGAAGCAACCTAGGTGCCCATCAAGGGACGAATGGATAAAGAAGATGTGGTACATATATACAATGGAATACTACTCAGCTGTAAGAAACGACAAAATCAGGCCATTTGTAGCAGCATGGATGGACCTTGAGGGTATTATGCTAAGCAAAATAAGTCAGAGGGAGAAAGTCAAATACCGTTTGATCTCACTCATAAGTAGAAGATAAAAACAATGGCAAATGTGTAGAGACAGAGATTGGATTGATCATCACCAAAGGGGAAGGAGGAGGGAGGAGGGCAGAAGGGATGATTAGGCACATGTGTGTGGGGATGGATGGTAATTAGTCTTTAGGTGGTGAACGTGATGTAATCTACACAGAAATCGAAATACAATGATGTACACCTGAAAGTTATATAATGTTATAAACCAACGTTACTGCAATAAAAAAAATTTTTAGTAATAAACACAACAGAAATGCTTCAGTACAAAAAAAAAATGTTCATAATCGCCCTGTTCTCCATGAGATCTTAAACTGATATGAGCTCTGATAAAAATGTTTACAGCTAACATTATTACTTTGTGTGTGTGTGTGTGTGTGTGTGTGTGAAGGGGTGAGAATTTGAAAGATGTGGCATTATGAGGATAGTTTACTCCTAAATAGTTCAAGTTTTCTGGAGCAGATAATCATTGAACTGCAGACAGAAGGAAGAAAGGAAAGACAGGTGGGAGGGAAAAGTTCTGGGAAATGATGGGAGATATATGAGGTCACGTATGAAGGAAAATTTCCTAGAATGAAGGATGTGCTTCCCTGGAAGTTTCTTTTATTACACCTCTATGTTCATAAATAATTTGTTCCATGTTGAATTGTCATTTATATCACTAAAACTGTGAACACCAAGATTAAAGGGACCCATGTCTTAGTTAACTTTGCTTAGCAGGCCCTGGTATGTAGTAGGTGCTAAATAAATGTTTGAATGGATGAAAAATGTAGCTCAGAGTAAATTTCACACTATTTTAACATATTATTTTGTTTGCTCTTCAGACTAACCCATGAAGGAGGTGGGGGGGGGGGTGTCATTCCCACATTTTACAGAGGCCTGACCTGCCCAAGGGCCAGAGCCAGACTCCGCTCCATCCCCCAGCAGACACTTCAGCTCATGGTAAAGTCACCTTCTCTCGCAGCTTCCGTTCCTTCCGCTCCTGCACCGTGGTCAGGTAGTTGACAGCCGCGTACTCCAGCACGGAGAGGAACACGAACACAAAGCTGACCCACAGGTAGATGTCCACGGCCTTGATGTAGGACACGCGGGGCATGGAGGCGTTCACGCCCGTGATGATGGTGGACATGGTCAGCACCGTGGTGATACCTGCACACACAGTGAGAAATGAGCACGTGCTTGTCTTTCTCTAAACACACTGTACAGCTTCATGCTCCCTTCCTCATGCCTCCTGCTCCTTCCGCCTAGCATGTCTCCACCCCGTCCCTCTGTCTTGTAAACACCTATTCATCTTCCAAGATTTGGCTGTTACGAAACTTCTCCTGTTCCTCCTGCCCTTCACTCACCCTGTCCCCCTCTGTATACCTGCATATTCATCATGGCACCAGTATCACTTGTCCTTCTGCAGACAGCCCCAGACATCTTGGCAGTACAATATTTCCATTCAATTGTTTAAAGCAAAGATTACATATATGAGCAGGTACATATGTTTCTTGTAACTACTTCTCCAAAAAGGAAAAAAAGTGCACAGGATTTATTTTAATCTTTGTGTCCTTGATGCTGGTGCAGAATCTTGTGGTCCTGGGCCTGTATTGTCAGCTGTGGGGGTGCCTGTGGCAGCCACCCCCACGCTGGACCTGGCTGTCCGTTCAGCAATGTCAACTTGAGGACTTAGGTCAATTTTACCAAGAATAATGTTAACCTCCTTTATGGGAGGCAGATTTTTAAAACTAGAATGTTTATTTATTTAGCACAGTAAGCGTTCAAGCCACAGAACAACTGTTAAAGAACAGGGCATCTGTCAGTGGAAATTTGCCCAGGATTTCAAATTAAGCTCAGAACATTTGCTTGGCAGACACCAAATCACAGGGAATTGGGGTCATCTTAAGGGCCAGCTCCAATCCAGTTTCACTACAACCTGGTGGGTCACCGTCTCCCTTGAAGCCCCTGAATCGTCCAAGCCACGGTGGTATGTGTGACTGAGTGGGTGCAATATTTACAGTGGGGAAGAGAGGTCATGGCAAATAGCTATTGATGGAATGTGTATAGTAGGGATTCTCAGACTTGAGTATGTATAAGAATATTGGGAGAGCTTATTCCAAATGCAGTTTCCTGGTCCTCTCAGAGATTCTGATTCTATACATGTAGACGGGACCCAGGATTCTTCATTTTTAACAATTTCCCCCAGAGATTCTGTCACAAAGATCCCTTGGGCTAGCTTCAGAGAAACTCTGTTATAGAGTGTGATTTCCTTATGCAGGTGGGCACAGAAAGCACCCTCAGACCAGGACCGCCCCCCTCCCCCACCCCCCAACGCAGCTCTAACAAGGCTGAAGGTGGGCTGTTCACATGGGCGCCTGTGGGGACCTGGAAACAGCTTTGCGACATAGAATCTTAATAATGGCATTTTACCTGTGAACGAATAACTTCAAGTTTTTCCAAGTTATAATACCTTTAGGGGTTTAGGACCAATTTGAAATGAATGCCTTTGTCTGGAAGGAATTACTTGTATTTTCAGATGCCTGGAATGTGCCCTCGAGATATTCCTTACCTAAGGGGACTCTGGCAGGCACTGCTCTGCGGTCGATCCAGAAGGACACCCAGGACAGCATGACCATCAAGGTAGCAGGAAAGTAAGTTTGGAGCAAGAAGAAGAAGATGTGGCGACGCAACGTGAAGTTAATGTACAGACGGTTGTACCAGCCTGCGGGACATAGGAAGAAAAGAGCATGCACCATAGATGCTCAGCTCCTTCATAAAACACATTTTATTCTGGGAATCACAAATGCCTCAGACACTTCTCTGGAACCTTACCATATCTTTATAAAGTGGAAGTGAGAAAAACCATGGAATGCAGTGATCATATGATAACCCACTCCACATGGGTGAGTCCATCTCAAGAAATCTTTGGCCCCTGTCCTATACATAAAGGGAACCCCTTGAGAAGGCCATTTAAGACTCGGGTTAGTCAAACCACGGGAGAGCACCCAGCAGCATCACCACCACTTGGTGGCTTGTTGGAAATGCAGACTCTGGGGGCCGGCCCCGTGGCTGAGCGGTTAAGTTTGCTTCGGCGGCCCAGGGTTTTGCTGGTTTGGATCCTGGGTGCAGACATGGCAGCGCTCATCAGGCCATGCTGAGGCGGCGTCCTGCATACCACAGCTAGAAGGACCCACAGCTAAAAATATACAGCTATGTACTGGGGTGCTTTGGGGAGAAGAAGAAGAAAGAAAGAAAGAAAATAATATTGATAAGAGATGTTAGCTCAGGTGCCAATCTTCAAAAAAAACAGAAATGCATACTCTGGAGCTCTACCCCAAATCAACTGAATCAGAAGCTCCTTTAAACAATACTCCCCACAAGATTCATATGCACATTATTTAAAGTTTGAGAAGCACAGATTTAAACAACCCCTTCGGATTTCTTTGTGGAGGAAAATGTATTTTCAGTTAAAACACCAAGCTAACCACAACGTTGCATTTAGGAACAGAGTGAACCATCACAAGTCCAGTTATGCTTTAGCTCAGGCCTTTGTTCTTGACAAGGAAAAAATACACATGCAGGAGTTGAAAGGAATAGGAGAATGTTGGAAGGAAAAGGAAAAGGCAGAATAAGCTGGAGATGATGAGGATTGAAAATAAAACGGGGACTTGGCCATATTAACTTGGAGACTTGACATCTGGACTATTAGAATGCAAAGGTTGTGATTATGATGATAACAGTCCAGAAAGTGATCATGGAGGTGCTATAGATGGAATGGGTGTGTCCCTCCAAAAGTCCTGTGTTGAAACCTAATCCCCCATGTGTATTAGGAGGTGGGGCCTTTGGGAGGTGATTATGCCATGCGGGTAGAGCCCTCATGACTGAGATTCGTGCCCTTACAGAAAAGGCCCCAGAGAGCTCCCTTGCCCCTTCCACCATGTGAGAACACAGCGAGAAGACAGCCATCTATGAACTAGGAAGCGGGCCCTCACCAGATACCAAATCTGCCAGCACCTGGATCTCGGTCTTCCCAGCCTTCAGAACTGCGAGAAATAAATTTCTGTTGTTTAGAAGCCACCCAGTCTATGTTATTTAGCAGCTTGAGCAGGCCAAAAGAAGAGGGAGTATCAGAATGCTAGGATCAAAGGAATGTGAGTCCCCCAAAGAACCAAGACTCACGAGTGATGTATACAGAAGACAAGATGTGCTAGATTGCCATAATATGTTGGAAGTAAAACAATTGCCCTCTGTTATAGATTAGAAAGACCATGGTGTGCTTAAAAGGTTGCACTTTCCTGTGCAACATGCAATATTTTAGCCATAAAAAATGCATATGGATTTGAGCAAAATCATCCTGAAAGGTGATCAGTCAAGAAAGAGGCAAGGGAGAGAGAGAGCGAACCTCAGCTGTTTAAGTAGCACAAGCAGATGCCAAGAGGAAGACCACAGAGATGCCCTCAGGCAGCGGGAGGCGGCAAGCCTGTCCAGAAGCTTGGTTCAAAAAGCAACATCACTGCCCACAGGAAGATGACCCACAGTTCCTGCACTGAGGTCATAAGAAGGGTCTGTGCAAGCTGTATAGCAAGAGGGGACTGCTGAAGAATGGAGCGCCCCCAGAGGAGCCGGCTGAAGCAGAGAATGCTAATGGAAAACAGCCGACCTGACATTGGATTGTTTCTCACCTGTAGAGGAGGCTCTGGTAATCATGTCGAGGGTGAGAAGCCAGCTGCTAAACTAGTACTGTGATTGTCTCAAATAAACCTCCTCACATGGCTTATGTTTGAGTCCTTACTAATATTTTCTAGGTTATCACTTCTGATGCTTTGGCGGTATCAAAAAAACCTCCACCCAGCGCTCGTCACCCCTAGACCTGATTTAAGATTTCCATCTTTGGTTTCAAATGCAAGTGGCACAGGCTCTTCTCACTCGACAACCAATTCACACCTTTCCTAAAATAGATGTGACCCACCCCAGCGGGCCAGAGCCCCCCTGACGCCCACCTGTGCTGCTGTAGAAGGCGAGTTTAGTGGTGGTGTGGAACTCTTGAATGAGGAACTGGGAGAGCGAGATCCGCTCATCTGTCTTTAAGGAGTCGTTGCCTTTTTTCCAGTACAGCATGAGGTCATCTTCTGTGTAGGCATCTGCAAAGACAGGAGACAGCAGCATCAGGCATGCAGCGGTGGGAAGACAGGCCTGTCTGTGGACGCTGCCCCCAATCTCCCACACACACTACTGGGATTGTAATAAGATAGCTGGAATAAACAAACCACAGTGGAAACAAAGCAAAACAAAATTCACAAAGACAAATCGAATTCTCCCCAGTCTTCCGGAAGTCATCAGAGCAAAGCTCTCAAGACTAAATGCTCATAATTCCTGCAAAAGGGCTCACCGTTTTGCCTGCCATTTATTAGGGTAAACCAAGCGAAATGGCCATTTTTGTAGATTAGAAATGGTTAAACAGCTGCAAAATTTTATATGGTTCAGCCTTCTAAATGGGAGTAATTTAACCCTTTCCTTTCTTCTTTCAAAGTGTACTGACACATCATTGATGGCAAATACCTTTAAACCACTCAGGTAATAAGGCTGCATTCCAGCAAGAAAGGACCCATAAAGGGCGGAGTAGAACAGGTCCCTCCTCTGTTGGCCTCCTGTTGCTCCTATCTAGAGTAAAATGAAAGTCATTCGCTGGGAGGATTGCTCCCTCTGGAGCTACCATCTCCCCACTCCCTCCCACTTTAGGTGCACACTGCTTCCTCCAGCTGAGCAAACCTACAGCGGCCTGGGCAGAGCTGAAGTAACACCTAACGGGTTGCTGGTCCCATCTGCTCCTGTGTGAACAGTTCTTTCTGGGGCTCCCTGATGCTCTATTCTGTTCCTTTCTTTTATTCTATTTCGAACCCTTGACCTGTGTGATGGTCGGTTTCATGTGTGCACTTGGCTAGGCAATAGTACTCAGTTATTCAATCAAACACTAATCTAGCTGTTGCTGTGTAGACGTGACATCTACAACTAGTTCACTTTAAGTAGATCACTTTAAGTAAGATCCAGGATAATCTGAGTGGGCCAGATCCAATTGAAAGACCTTAAGATCAGACCTGATGTCTCCCCCAGGCAGAACTTCTGCCTGTGGACAGCGGAGTCAGCCCCTGCCCAGGAGTTCCCAGTCTGCCCTTCCTGATGGCCTGCCCTGCTGATGTTGGACTTGCCTCACCAACTCGGACGCTCTCATAAGCCAGTTCCTGGCACTAAATCTCTTACTATATATCTCCTATGGTTCTGCTTTTCTGGTGGCACCGTGACGGACACAACCTGCAAGAAGCTACATTCTGGGTGGAGCTGCCTGGGTGTGGTGGGGAAAACAAGGTTCTGGAGCCAACAAAGTTTAGTCCTTCTTAGCACCATGTCCTCAGGCAAGTTCCGTCCCTTCTTTGTATAATGGAGATAACAACCTTCTCACAGGGATCTCATGAGGATTAAATGACAGAGCAGGTGCAAAGCCACTGTGCAGTGGTGGTCACTCCCTTGGTCTTGGGTTTTAGGACACTCTTTTCCCACATTCAGTCCCCATGGAGCTGTCCGTTTGGCCCCTGCTATGTGTGGGATCAACACTGCACTCCTCCACCCTGGATAGTTGGAGCCAGGGGACGCCTGACCCATCGCATAAGCCCAGACAGGCTTACAGAGGTGCCCTGAGCCAATGAAATTCCTCACTAGGACTTTGGCGCTGGCCAGCGGGCGCGTGCTGGTTCAGGAGGAGTGTATGAGCCAAAGTTATGGGGGAGTCCAGACTACGCCCATCAGAGGAAGCATTTTGGCAGAGATTAAAGAATGAAGCAGGTGCTTAGAGAGTTAGAGATAGAAGCAGCTGGTCCTTGATGCTGCCTCTGTCTTAGGCTTCCTGGAGCCTGGCCTGTAACTCTTCCAGGACTTCGTGTGTTAAGGTTCCTGAGGTCCCTCCACTGTGCCTGAGCATCTCAGCCACCTCCAGCGCTCACAGTCAATAGTCCCCCCAAGCAATTGTTGCCAAGCTTGTTTTTGCCAAGAAATCTTTTCTTCAACAGAAATGTTATTCCAAAGAGCAATGAAACAGATTAAAAATGGATGGACTGTGTGTGAGTGGTGGCCCAGGGACTCAGAAGGAGACCCAGATTTGCCGAGCCCTCTACTCCCAAGCAGTTTCCCTGAACCTCCAGCTTCCCCAGAACGAAGTTGAAAACTATTGCCATAGAGCATTAAAAGGGGCTTATGGAAACAGAAGGTTCTAGTCCCAAATTTGTTCCTGATTTTAAAAATTACCCTAGACTTAGCTTCAACCTAAAAAGTCACTTTATGGGGCCGGCCCAGTGGCACAGTGCCACTTTGCACGTGCTCCACCTTGGTGGCTCAGGGTTCACAGGTTTGGATCCCAGGTGCCGACCTATGCACCACTCATCAAGCCATGCTGTGGTGGCATCCCACATACATAATAGAGGAAGATTGGCACAGATGTTAGCTCAGCAACAGTCTTCCTCAAGCAAGAAGAGGAAGATTGGCAACAGATGTTAGCTCAGGGCCAATCTTCCCCACCAAATAAATAAATAAAATAAAAAATAAATAAACAAAAAGTCACTTTAAAAGCATAGTCATGAATGAGGAGCACATCTGTTCCTGCTCCCGAGACTTAGCGGTGTTTAGAATCACATAGGAGCTGTGTGCTCATGTCCGGGCACAAGCCTACTCACAGCTTTCAATTTCAAGCGAGCACGTTTGTGTGTCCAGGGGAAATCGGCTGAAGTCCATGTTGCACATCGCAGTCACTGTCACCCTAGAAACAGACAAAATCCAAGCTTTCAGAGGCTGCAGAAGACAAGCGCAAAATGATAAAACAAGCAGAAAAGGCCTCTGCTTCCTTCCAATATAATGGCCTCCTTCTTGTAATTCATACGCAATATGTCAGGACTGGATAAGTAGCTAGTGAGTGATACCGTTGGGAGTCCTCTTAGTTTCATGCTTAACTCCAGGGTCAGTGTGTGGTGAACAGAATGTCTCCCCAACCCCTGCCACATTCAAGCATTTTAAAGAAGTAATGGTCTCAATTGATATAACAATGCGAAATAAAAACTCATACAATATGGCTTCTTAAAAGAAACCGTAGGAGCGTATATTGTGCTCCAGTTTTGGATAAATTCAAGTTCTTCTATTTTTATTGATATTATTGATATTCAGTGTTTGTGTACAATGTTTCAGAAATAATATTAATGAAGCACTTAGGCCAGTTGCCAAACTCAGCACTTTTCTCTTTTTACAACGTTGATATTTGTATATTGATAATGTCTACTAGTGGGTATGATACCGGCTCAACACAAAGTTGACATAAGGGAAGCCATATTGTAGAAAAGAAACCATGCTGTAACTTTGAATGACCTCTGATTAACTGACCCAGTTGGATATGCACCCTCCAGGGGATCCATCTGCTGTGTAGATTTTATGGCCCCTCCCAGCTGCAATAAGTCCATAACTTTGCTCTTTTGAGTTCCTTTGGAATGTGATGACCCCTGGGCAGAGAGTCTGTGCTGATAGCCACATCAATGACAACTGAAAGATCTGGTGTGACGACTCTGGCTATTCATTATAATTAAATTGGGGATTAAATGTGTTTCTAGGGGTCGGCCCAGTGGCACAGTGGTTAAGTTCGCATGTTCCACTTCTCGGTGGCCTGGGGCTCGCCAGTTCGGATCCCGGGTGCATACATGGCACCGCTTGGCAAAAGCCATGCTGTAGTAGGCGTTCCACGTATAACGTAGAGGAAGATAGGCATGGATGGTTAGCTCAGGGCCAGTCTTCCTCAGCAAAAAGAGGAGGATTGGCAGTAGTTAGCTCAGGGCTAATCTTCCTCAAAAAAAAAAATGTGTTTCTAAACTAATCTCTAAACTGTCTGCATCAGTGACTCAACATCTCCCTCTCAAGAGCAACGGTGGCAATACACGAGTGACACAGTTTCATTTGATGATCCCCCTACACCAACCCCATTCAGCAGGAAGTAGCCAGACAGACAACAACTCTGTTCCCATTACTGGCATGTGATCATGCTGGGTTACAACTGACAGCGGGGAGTTGCTGGTGCCACTAACATAAGCAGTAATCTTTACTATACATATTAAAGATCTTGTTCTTATTATCTTTAAACTAAATCAGGGTATAGGGTGTTGCTCCACTCTCTGATGCATATTCAGTAAAAGATTATCAGGAACTAAGGCCAGATATCTGCCCCACCCAGAGACCACTCCCTATATAACTGGCCTGTAGTCTTTGTTCTGTGAGATGGATCTTATGGACATTAGTCCATCTTCCAATTTGCTAGCTTATTGCGTAATAAATGACCTTTCTCTCCTACCACCTTCCCCTTTGACTATTGGCTTGTCTTGCGACAAGTAGAAGAACCCCCTTTTTTTGGCGGTAACAGGCACAGGTGTTTTAGCGGATAATTCCATGGAGATCATAGTAATGGAAAAACACTGACAGATCTTATCTTACAAACATGCAAGCACTTGCTGGCATCTAATGGTTTTGTTTCAGAGTTTACACAGGAAAATAGGCTTCTGCATCAAAGAATCAACAAATACAAATCACTAGTCATAGATGAAAGATCTCCCATCCAGTGGGGAATCTCATGGCAGAACATGACTAACAGTCATTGGCTGGTATTGAACATACTATTTTTCCTTCACCACAGAAAACTGGCCATGTGTAAGTTGTGGAAATTATCCGGATAATTCATGGCCAAAAAGAAAAAAAATCACTTTTAATTTAAATGGAAATTTCAAGGAAAAGAGCTTTCTTAAAACTGAATTATCCAAATATTTGCCTTATTTTCCCCATTCCATTTGACTGTGCAATGGCTGTGTTCTGGGAGGGACTCTGTGTCGTTAGCAGCTGGGGGTCTTATCTGCCCTGGAAATCCTGGTAAACAGGGTGTGTGTGGGTAGGGGGGAGGTCAGGCTGGCAGCTGACTTGACATCTATTGGGTGGGCGTCCATTTCTATGAGTACGTCACCAGCAAGAAAGAAACTAGGAACTAAGTTTGGGGACACTTGGAGATAACTTTGGGAACATGAAATGTCAAATGCAGGAAGTTTTTGCTGTGGACCAAAAAATTGAATAGCTCTTCTCCTTTTATCAGTTAGTACAGGAACAGATGTTTCTAGAATCCTAGACATCATCAGACTGGTGTTTGCACCCTGTCAATACTATTACACTGTGACCGGCACATTGAACACCACAGTTTGTCGTGTAATCTGGCCCATGTTTATGTTTGTTCCCCCAAGTCCCTTTAAAATGCTTCATTGGGAGGATCTTCCCTCGTCTTGAACAGAAAAACTTGTCAGGTCCTATGATTTTTCTCCCTACTGTCATGTTATAGACAGTCAAAACCCTCATAAGTAACAAAACATATCTCAATTCAGAAATTAAAATAATTTTGGTCTGAGATATTAATCAACACTTCAAACTTCATTTAAATTAAGACTTCTGCTCCCCCTCCCCAACTAAGGTACAGAGTTGGCATTTGAGTGCTCAGTTTCTGCTGGTCTCTGATTACCTCCTGCATGGTGGATGTGGGTGAGGGGGGATGGGCTGGGGCAGGACAGTTGTCCAGTAGGTGGCTTCACGCTATCTGGTCTTGCCACATGGTTGAAGCTGATGCTTTCTTTCCTGGGTTCTTCATAACCACTGCTGGGCATCTCCCTTCTCCAGCAGCAACTCCTCACCCCAGCTCTTGGTTACCCACCTCCATTCCACACACTCTTAACTATTCCCAACAATCCTGGGCATGCAGGCTGATCCCACCACAGCCAAAACTTCTCCTGGCTCTGCCCCTAGGCAGTTAGATAGCTCTTCTCTCAACCTCCAACTGCTCAGTGTCCCCAAACTGTAGGCCCAAAACACACATACCAAGCTCTCCAAATGGTGCCAGTGCAGGCCCACTTATGGCAGGCCCACAATTCCCTCCCAACAAAAATCTCACAAATCTTTTCTTCCTCCCACAATCATTGATTCTTTCATATCTTGAAGTGGACTGGGAGTTTAAGAACCATGAAATTGGTTTTTCAACATTTCCTTAATAAAATCTACCTAGCGTGATGGAGCATCTCTTTTGTGAATTTCACTTTTTATCGTATGTTGGTGTCTAGGAAACTTCGATCTCACCATCCTGTTACCTGTCGCTCCCTGCCCCTCAACCCACTGCATGATGTCCATCCCTCTATTTGCATTCTAATCATTTGGTTCCGTGTCTGTCTCCTCAACTAGCCTGCAAGCATGCCAAGGGCAGTGACCTTATATCATTCATCTTGATGTCCCCATAGCTTAAGACAGGACCTGGCAGGGCTTTCATCTGCGCAACTCTGGGGCCACTCAGAAAGCTCTTAATAAAAATTCATTCTGTTCAGTGAATCAATGAGCGTGGACGAGGTAGGAGGACAGTATATTAGCATGTACTTAGGAATTAACCTGTTGTTGACAGGGTTGATGATACCCAGCTATTCCACGTTTTCCCCAAAATAAATCTCAGAGTGATAGTCCTCAGTAACCTAGGCCTCTTCTTTTTTCTCTTAAATCAAACAAACCCGTGATTTTATTGCAATGAAAAATAAAATCATGTTTTTAGGCACAAGGAGGCTCACTGATGACTTTGACTCTGAACACACAGGAGGTTTTCCATTCTCTTGTTTCCTCTGTTCTGCCTCTTGTGGTCACATCCACTGGCTTCCTGGAGTAGACCTACTGGCTCCTGAGAACTGATTGCTGGATTTCCAGGAAGTTTGCAAACCGATTGTTAAACACAGCCATTATTAAAAATCAAATTACAGGGGCCAGCCCCGTGGCCTAGTGGTTAAATTTGGCACACTCTGCTTCGGTGGCCCATGTTCAGTTCCTGGGCGCAGACCTACAACACTCACTGGTGGCCATGCTGTGGTGGCCACCCACATACAAAATAGAGGAAGATTGGCATGGATGTTAGCTCAGGGCTAATCTTCCTCAGAAAAAAATAAAAATTAAAAAATTAAATTACAGTCATGCACCCCATAACAATGACAGACCACATATATCACGGTGGTCCCATGAGATCAGTACCATATAGCCTAGGTGTGTAGTAGGCTATACCATTTAGGTTTGCTTAAGAACACTCTATGATGTTCATACAACAATGAAATCCTCTAACAACGCATTTCTCAGGACACGTCCTTTCTCTTAGGCAATGCAGGATCGTATATAAACTTAAAATTAAATTACATTAAGAACAAAAGTAATAAATACTCAAAATTCATCACTTCCTAATTATTTCACTATTATCTATACTCCTGAAGTTATTTACATCTATTATATTTATATGGTGGAAATACAGTCATGCACTGCCTAAGAAAGTTTCCATCAGAGATGGAATGCATATACAATGGTGGTCCCATAAGATTAGTATCATACAGCCTAGGTGTGTGGTAGGCTGTACCATCTATGTTTGTGTAAGCACTGTAGGGGAGGAAGAAATTTTCCTCTACTCTTCTAGTTTCTTCTGGCTGGTCCAAGAATTAATTTGACATGAGACAGATTAACAGGAGAAAAATAAACAAATGCTTAGTAACATGTATACATGGAAGAAACCTAGGAAAACCAAGTAACTCACCACAATGGCTGAAGCCCTCACCTTAAATACCGTCTCAGCTAAAGACAAAAGAAGATGTTAGGGGTGGGGAGAGTCAGGGACATCAAAGGGAATGAAGGCAATTCACAGGTACTGAAAAGGAGCAAATGTTTGGAAAACAGGTGTTTGTTTGGCCACACAGAGGGGAGCCAAGCAAACAGGCAAAAGCACTAGGTTCCCGCCTGTCTCCCACCTCATTCACGTTACGCTAAGGTGATAGCTCGCTTCCCAAGACAGCTTCTTTCATCTGAATTCTTTTAGGCCCTTAAGGGGAAGCTAATAAGAAAAACTTTTTGCGTGTTTTGTTTCTTAAAAACCATCAGCCTAAAATGATCCTCATGTTAAAGAGACACATTTTGGGGTGGCAAATTTTGTTCCCTTACAGAACAGTCTATGATGTTCGTACAATGATGAAATTGCCTAACGATGCAGTTCTCAGAACATCGTCCCATTGTCAAGCAACACAGAAGTGCACCAAACAACGGTGCGCTACCACATGTCTTCCCAGCTCCACTTCCAGCGACATCAGGTTGGTGGCTTAAAATCAGCCATGATTGGGAGTATTTACACTAAAAATCATCAAATGCTACAAACCAGGGCTTGATTTACTATTTTGTCTATTGCCTAGACTTATGGAGGCAGATTAAACCTAAAAGTGTGTTATGTCTACCGTCATTATATGCAAATAGTACAAAAAATTGAGGAAATAGTTTTCCAGTATTTGAAAGCCATTATCCAATTCAGCAAAGACATTGCTATGTCTTTGATGGATGAATGAAGTTCCTACCTAGTTCTTTGTTATTTCGCTTTTTTGTCTTATTAACATAAACAAAAATATCAACCAACATTTATTAGCTCTGCACTCATTTGTCAATCATGTAAGCAAGCAAATGCTTGCAAACATTTACTCATAGTCTGATTTTGTATAACTATTGTTGGTAATAGGATTATAAAAAATAATGAGTTATATGTCAATTATACCTCAATAAAACTGGGAAAAATAATAGTGGGATTTTACAAGAAATAGAAAATTATGCTGAAGTTACATGTGTATGGAATTTATAATAAAAAGTATTGTATATTTTATTCGATTTATAAGCCATGTACTCTATTTGTATCAGTAATGTTTATAATAAACTTATGTACCCATATGCAGGCATAATTTTCCCCCAGACAACAAGTTGTTAAACATTTACTAGCATACCATGTTCAGGTACGTTATGGTCTAGCCTTCTGCATCCCTGGCCGTGCTGTCAGATTGTGCTGTTTTGTTGGCGGTTTTTGAGACTTAAGATGCCTTGACAGCCTACCTCAGATGGGAGTACTCCCGGGAGAACCAACCCAACATGGCCTGGGGAAGAGATTGCACATCCTGACCCACCTGCGTGCGCCTCCATGAGAGGAGGCACTTCAAGCCAAGGAGAGGAAAACCCCACAACCCCACTCTGAGTCTTGTACCTAATTGCTTAGGTTCCAAGCCAAGATGAGTAGTGAGGGATCATTATAAATATTCCTTTGGGGTATGGGGACAGAAATTCAGCTTCAACACCGCCATCTCTGACTCTGAAGACACACTGTGCCACCATACCAGCACCCCTACTTGAACATCGGTGTGTGGATTCATCTTCGCCAAAACGAAGTCTGTAAAACTGAAGTGAACCATGAGCACAGCACAGGAGGAGTCAGTCACAGCGAGTGGCTGAGTTCCCTCTCTGTGAAAGCCTGTAGCTCATCTCCACACGCCCTCCCAGGGGGAGGCGGGCCCCTCAAGTCTCTAAAGTGGGCGTGCAGTGAGAGCCACGCTGCGGTGCCTGTGTGGGGCCTGGAGAAGGAAACCTTCTCCAGGTCAGTGTGTAATAAGCAATTAGACATTTCTAAGGCATATGAGCTCGTGAGAAGAGACGATTTAATCCTTCATGTTTTAAAAGTGATGCTCAAAATACCAGTTAAAATTGCCAAGTAGCCCATGGCTCCCATAGTTTCTCAAGTAGGACCCTATGGTGAGAAGACAGAGAAAACACGTCTGTGGCTGGCCAGATGAAGTCAAAGAATCTTTTTTTAACCCAAGTTCTAAAATGGGAATCAGAGAGGTCGAGGGAGGCAAGTCTTTGAGAAGAATACATTGTCTCTTTCTCTGACTCCTACTAGAGAAATAAAACTTTTAAAATTGAAATATAACCTACAGGATAGGGCATAAATCATCAATATCAGCATGAGAAATTTCCCCAGATGTATTTTCAAGACTGAGTAATTCTTTAAAAATTCTTGCTCATGTGTCAAGTTAGTTTTCCTTTATGTTGAAAAGTTGGCAGCTCCTGAAAAGTTAGAAGCTATCCATTCAAAGGCAAAAGGCAAAATTGCTGCTGTGGAACCAAGGATATTCTCGATCGAGACAAACAATTTACCTTTCTTCCCAGGCTTCGGGGCAAGAGAACTCTGAGGAAACAGGCCCAGCAGGGGCCGAGAAGGGCCTCACCTGAGGCTGTACAGCACCTTCCCGTCGGGCTGGACCCGCAGCATGACGTTGTCCGTGGTGGTGTCGTGGATGAAGGAGCGCTTGGAGTGCACGAAAAACATGTCGGGGACCCAAATCTTCTTCACCAGCCGTCCGTCAAATGTCATGCTGAGGTTGTTGGAGCTCGGGAAGGACAGCCTCTCGTCCTTCCAGTAGTGCCTCAGGTAGAGGGTCATCGTGAAGTCCTGGGAGCGGAGGACACAGAGGGGAACCCCACACGCTGAACCCACTGGGTGTCAGCAGGACATTCTGGACACGTGTGGAGCCATCACCTGGCTGGGAACGGAACTGAGCCAAGGGAGGTGTTGCTTCTAGTCCCTGAGGTTTGCTGAGGTAGGAGGAAGAGGACCCTTCAAGGGAGGAGCACAGCAGAGGCTTCCACAGAGAGGTGGCCCTGGGCCCCACCCTGGCCCCTGGCATTCGCCCCCCGCACTGAGAAGGCTGCTACCGCCAGCACTTGTCACCCTCCGCCTGAGGGCTCCCCAGCGCGCGCGCGCGCGCGCGCGCACACACACACACACGCACACACACACACACACACACAGGGCAAGCCAGAAATGCCAGAGAGACAACGCCTCTGGAAGCAGCCCTCAACCAGAGTCAGGGTGGGGAGGGCTGGCGGCGGGTGGATGAGCCCCCCGGCTCCCTGGCCCCCTACTGGGGTAACCCTGCAGCATGCTCTTCGCTGCCTCCTGGAGTACCCCAAAGGGACTGAGTGTCGTGTAAAACTGGTTTTGGTGGCATGACCCTTTTGCTTCCTTCCCTCCCTGTCCCACCTCCCACTTTCTTCTTGGTGTTTCCTGGGATCATCTCCCAAATAAACTGCTTGTGCTGAAATGCTCGTCTCAGGTCTGCTTCCTGGGGACCCTAAACTAAGGGAAGCCCCTAAAAAGTACTATAAGTCAAGTTGTAGAATAGTCCATTTTTCATCTGAAGCCACTAACAGAAAAAACCCAGACACTTCTGCTTCTTCTGCATTTCCACAAGCAGACACTGAATCTTCAGCAGTAGGAAGTGTCTGGCTCCCTGTCAGTTGTCACCTTGGACCCTGCTGTTTATGTTTGAGAGCCTTCGTGCAGAGAACACATCCCAGCAGTTAGAGCCTGGTCGCTGGAGGGGGGAGACCAAGTTTGTCATCTGGCTCTGATTCATACCAATTGCGTAGCTTTCGGCAAGGGTCCCAACCTCCCTGAGCCATCTGTGAAAAGGGGATGGGCATTCCCACCGCAGGGGAGTTGTGAGGCCCAGTGAATTCGGGTGTGCAGCCCTCCTGGCCTGGCGCAGGCCCAGTGTGAATCCCCCTGGTCAGAGCAGCACTTACCATGTCGACCTCTGAGATGCTGTCCAAGCTCTCCACCTGCACGTCCACACCCACAGGAATGGCCGGGCCTGGGGACAGCGCATGGCAAGAGCATTGATTTCTTTTACTTGAACTTTTACCATGGGAGAGACAGGCACAAGGGATGTTTCCCCCGGAACCTCAGTGTCTTTTCATTTAAGGTTTGGGATTCCCACATGCCAAGCTGAAGTCAAACCAGAGATAACAGGGTGGAATCATGGGCTGGCTCCATGGAATATTCCAGCAAAGGTAAAGAAAAAAAAAATTGAGGGTCTGGGTCATCCAGGTGGTTCTGAAACAGTCAGGTTAAGATAGAGTGTTCCTCTTCGGCTACACAGGCTCATCTAAAGACACGATGAAGACCTAGGGCCGAGCTGGGTCTGATCTAAGGAGGTGCTCCTTAGCAGAGGTCACAGTTTATTTTTTATGTTTACCTCCTAATTTTGCACCTGGCATCTTGGGAGCCAGTGTCTCTGTCTGGCTGTGAGAAAGGCTTCGCTCGGCAGATAGGCACCCAGAACCAAAGTCGTATTCAGAGCGTTTTCCAGACCCACAGATCTACATCTTTGCTGGGTGATGGAGTAGCTTCCGGGGGGATGTGACGCACCAGGGGGGGCCTTGAAAACATTAGATTCTTTGGGCATTTCTAGGCCATAAATAGTTAATATTCATAAAGAGAAAAAAGAGCACCAGAAAAGGAGTAAATGGCTGCCCTTTTCCTCTTTGCTTTCAGGCATTTGGGGCAGGCACGGAACACACTTGGACCATCAGGGAGTGAAAAGGTGGGTTTGGATCCAATAGCAGCAGATTATGGACTGCACAGAGACCCACTCCTAGAACCTGTTTATTCTTTGGGCAAACATGACTGGAAGAAATAAAAGGCATAAGAATGATGTCTAAAATAAATATTTTTTTCCAGGAAAAAAAAAATCCCATAAGGACAAAAACCCTATTTGACAGTAAGATGACTGAAATCCAGCAGCTATAGGCTAAGCTTCAAAGGGCTTTGGCATCCCTCTCTGAGAAATCATTATTTTCTCAAGCTATTTCCATTGAATTAAACACAGCAGACCACACTCTGCCCTCAGATATGAACCCAGAGTTCCGTCTGCCAGCTCCCAGAGGAGAAGAAATTTAGTCCAAGGTTGTTATTTCAGAGCGTTTGCAGGAGGCAGCTTGGGGCCGCAGCTGCCCCATCCTCCCCTCGCCCTTCCCACAGCCAGCTGCTGGCCTCACTGACTGTGAGCCCTCCTTGTTGGGGGCAGTGGCCCGAGGACGGCTCAGCTGGCCTAGCCTGGCCCCCGCCCAGCACGCCCCGCCTGTGTATGTGTTCAGCAGAGTGTGGGGCAGGGCTGGGCAGGGCAGATGCTGGGAGGATGGTGCCAGTTCAGTGTCTCATCCACCAAGCACAACTGGGGCCGACTTGATCAGGGGAGAGCAAAGCTGGGAGGGCCCTGGGCTTTATTTCTGCCTGCAGACAGACAGATGGACCCGAAGAAAGAAGACAATCCCTGAGAGTGCACGTCTCGTACCTCCAAAGCCAGGCCTCATGCTGAAATCGTGGTCATCTATCCTCAGAAGCTGCTCTGACTTTGTCAGTGGCGATTTGGTGATGTCAGGGCTTCGTTTCAGAATTGGGCTGCCGAGGAGGAAAAAACAGGTGGATCGCATATTCCAACTAACCCAGTTGAAAACTACTTGTGTTCAGACTTGATCTGGACAGGGTTGTTGGGATGTGTTATTTCTTCTTTTAAGGTACTGGGTATCCATCCCCCTTTCTCCAGCATCCTGGATAAGTGAACTGACCCAGAAGGTCCAAGACTGCGCTTTAGAACTACCACTGAGGACCTTTAAAAACCATTTCTCTGAGGCCCCACCTACAGATTCGGATTTGGGTGGTCTGACAGTGAGGCCTGGAAATTGGTATTTTAAAGATCATTTTCCCAGATGATTTTAGTGTGTAACCAAGGCTGAGAACTGCTGATCCCAGCCTTATTAATAAGTCCAAACTCCCTCAGAGCTGCTCAGCCGTTCTGGGAGGGTTTGCGCTGGAGAGGAGGGCGGTGGGTGTGGCCTGAGCCTGGCGCCCTTGACCGCTGTTGGCCCATCCTGTGGAGTGAAGATGGACTTGCCCCTGGAAACGCCCACCCTCCTGGCTGCCTGCAAGGCAGCCTCTTGTGCTTCTGCTTCTGAATTGCACCTAGGGCCATTTTTATTTATCTTTACTTTTTCTAGATAGGTAATATATTTTCAAGGTTCAACAATTTTAAAAAAAGGAAAAGCAGTGAAAAGTTGGCCTCCCACCTTCGCCTCATCCACTCCAATCCCCAATCCACGGGTACCTCTCTCACTGGTTTCTGGTCTACGTAGAGTTTCTTGTAAGTCCAAGTAAATACGAGTGTATATTCTTAGTTCTCCTATTTTTTCCGTTTTTATTGACTATATAGCATTGTATTAGTTTAGAGGTGTACATTATGATGCTTTGATATATGTATATACTGTGAAATGATCACCACAATAAGTTTAGTTAACATCCTTCACCACACATAGTTACAAATTTTTCTGTGTGATGACAACTTTTAAGATCTACGCTCTTAGTAGCTTTCAAACATACAATACGATATTGTCAGCTGTCATCACGATACTGTACATTACATCCCCAGGACTCACTTATAAGTGGAAGTTTGTACTTTTTGACCCCTGCACCCATTTTACCCCTCCCCCACCACGCATCTGGAACCACCAGTCTCTTCTCTTTTTCCATGTGTTTGGGTTTTTTTAGATTCCACATATAAGTGAGCTCATACAGGATTTGTCTTTCTCTGTCTGACTTATTTCACTTAGCATAATGCCGTCAAGGTTCATCCATGTTGTCATAGACAGTCTCATTTTTTCTATGCAAAATTAGCATACAAACTCTTGAACTTTTTCTTTTTTCTTTATTTAAATATATCTTGGATTTTTTTACCATATCAAAGTATCCCAAGCCTCTTATTCTTTTTTACACTACACAGTGTTCCATCACATGGATGTACCATAATTCAAGTGACCAGTCCTACAATGATGGCCATTGAGTTGCTCCCAGTCTTTAGCTATTGTAAACAGTGCTGCAATGGACTTGAACAGTTCATTTACCCGTCAGCACCATCTCTAGAATCCACAGAAACAACTACCTACCTTCCCAGCTCCCCGTTATGCTAACACCAGCCATGTGTTCTCTCCAGGGTACCACACACACTTTCTTTCCCCTGGATGCAGTGGTTCCCAAACTTTGGTGTGCATCAGCATCTCCTGGGGGGCTGATCAAACCTAGATTCCTCAACCTCCCTTTCCCCCTGAAGTTTCCGATTCAGTAGGTCTGAGCTGAGGGCCAAGAATTCGCATCTCTAACAAGTTCCCAGATGCTACTGATGCCACTGGTCTGGACACAGCACTTTGAGAACCACTGTCCTGACACCTTTTATCCTCAATACGCACACTTCCCTCCCTTATCACTAGCTCAGTGTACCTTTAAGTCCTTTGCTATCATTTTTCCTGAAGAAACCCTTGGTCTGTGGGGGAGAAAACATGACTGGGAGACAGGAAGACAGGGCTCTGACCTCTACCCGGAAGCTGTCTGCTGTGCCTTTGGGAATCTTGCTTCCCCGAGACTCAGTTTCCTCAACTCAGTTTCCTGATTGAAGGTAAAGCTCTGTGACCTGACATGGGTGCCAGGAGTAAATGAGGTAATGTACATGGACACACTGTTCAGCCTCTAAAGTGGTACACAAATGGAAAGAGCCATTTCGTTACTGAGCCGGCAAGGAAGTTTCCTTTTAAAGGAAGAAAATTACTGTGCTGGCAACAAAGGAAGTGGCCCAGGGAAAGATTTTGAACCCTGAATCAGCACCAAGCTGCGCCGCTTAGGATGTAAGTGAGGAAGAAGCCGGGGACTTTAAGAGGAGGAAAGATGGTCTGGTGCTGCCTGCATCCTCTGTCTCACCGAGCGGAGCCGGGAGCCCCCTGCATCTTCTCCTTCTCAGCTCCTCCTTTCTCTTGTCCCCAACCCTTTGCTTCCTGCTCCTTGGCCAGGGCTGGGGGCACTGCTGAAAATCACTACAGCTGAGTCGTGGGGAAGAGCCAGCTTTAGAATGGTGTGCATGCGCCTATAGCCATGTTGCCTTGCTGGTGGACATCTTTGTGTACTTTTGGTCTGTCTTTGATACCTACTTTGAAAATTAAAAATGAAGATGTTCCAGCCAGCTCCATGGCCAAGTGGTTAAAGTTCCTCATGCTCTGCTCGGTGGCCCGGGTTCATGGGTTCGGATCCTAGGCACAGACATACTCTACTCATCAGCCATCCTGTGGAGGCAACCCACACACAAAAAGCAAGAGGAAGATTGGCAGAGATGTTAGCTGAGGGACAATCTTCCTCAAACAAAAAGAAGAGGAGGAGTGGCAACAGATGTTAGCTCAGGGCAAATCTTCCTCACCAAAATAAAAAATTTTAAAACTGAAGATGTTCTAGAAACAGTCTATTTAACCAGCCCTGGTGGCCCAGTGGTTAAGATTCGGTGCCCTCACCACCCTGGCCCAGGTTCGTTTCTGGTCAGGGATCCCCACCACTCATCTGTCAGTTGTCAAACAGTGGTGGCTGCTTGTTGCTGTGATACTGAAAGCTATGCCACTGGTATTTCAAATACCAGCAGGGTCACCCGTGGTGGACAGGTTTCAGAGGAACTTCCAGATTAGACAGACCGGGAAGAAGGACCTGGCCATCCACTCCTGAAAAAATTGTCCAAGAAAACCCTATGAGTAGCAGTGGAGCATTGTCTGATACAGCGCTGGAAGGCAAGAGGATGGCGCAAAAAGATGGGCAGGGTTCTGCTCTGCTGTACACAGGGTCCTAGGAGTCAGAATCCACTCCACAGCACTAACGATCCAGCTACTCAAATCAACAAAGCAACTCATCTGCCAGATTTGCTTCAAATCTAACCAGAATAAAATGCGAAAGGAAAATTATGAAATAAAAGAAAATCTGTGAAACTTCAATGCCTTAATTTAGCCCTTTGATGAGCATTTTCCCATTACGCACAGAAGCAGGGATTGGAGGATTAATTACTTAGAAGGCCTGCTTTGAAGAGATCTGACCTAAAATATCTCCCCTACTGGTCGACCGAGGCCTGAAATTGGTGCCAGTCTTACCTTGGATCTACCGTGAAATTGTTGCTAGTGGAGTAATGCACTGCCAGGTAGACTGTATCACTTGGGCATCCCTGCCCTCTGGCTTATGGCTTCAGCCAAATGGGCCCTGGCAGGAGCTGAAAGAGCAGGTGTTTATCCTCCTTCTCTCCCTGCTTCGATGCCAGGGACTAGCAATGCCTGCATTGCTCTGTGATTACAGATAATCCCAGTATCTTCAATCAGCCCCAATAACACGATTTTCCCTTCAACCCTATGGGTAGTCATGACTTCCTGTTCCGCCTAGTTTTAGGGGGCATCAGCATGCCTGGTTGGTTCCCTGAATCCTACCCTGCTCTGCAAGGAGGCCTTTTATTCAATTATTGGTTAAGCCCTTTTGAGTGCAATGCTATTTTCTACCAGGACTTGACTGATGCACAGGGACACATCAGTACTGATGCATAGGGATTATGTCATCTGCAGCAAAGTGGAGTGGAGGCAGGTTTGAGTTCTGTAGGAGTGGGTCCCAGAAGTGAGGAAGAGCTAAGACTGGAGAGAGAGCTTCTCTTTGGGCTACAGGCCATCACAATCGATGGTCAGCAGGGGCAGTGTGAGGCCACAGGCCACCGAGGACAGAGTCCTCTTCACATTCTGCACCTTGCACAGTGCTGGGGCCCCATGGACCCTCAACACATGTCGGTCGAATGAAGGAAGGAATCAGCCTCTTAGATGGGCGCTTGAAAAGAGGCAGGAAAGACTGAAAGAGGGGGTTGGGATGGAAATCGAGCTTGGCCCAATTCTCACTTTGGCTTGAGGCCAGCCTGAAACAGAACTGGGCACTGACTAAAGGGAGGCTTGTCAAATTCTAAGACGCCATTGCTTTTGCCTGCATCAAACTTATAATCTAGCCTAGAAAAGTTTGAGAAATAGGATTCTTAAAGTCTTTTTCAATGTTGTTGTTCAATATCTTAAAATAACTTTTTTTCTGCTTACATGCCCATGTGAAAAAATTGGGAATACAGATTTAAAGTATAAAGGAGAGGATGAAAACCACTCAGAAATAACGTGTGCCATCCTGTGGATACCCTTACAGTTATCCTCAGAGAGAGAAAGAGAGATGACACTGTAACTTGCTTGTCAACTGAAGTTACAATATATCATGAAATATTTTTCATGTCCTTAGCATCTTTTTACCAGCCAGGGGCACGATTGTTAACCTTGAAGTGAAGTAGGACACACGGCAAATAACAGGAATAACGAACACGGCTTGAGTCCTTACTATCTGACAGTTACCAGGCTAACTCAAATGACACGTGTTAGCTTGGGTTTGTCCTCATAACAATGCTATGAGGTGGGCCATACCATTATCCCCCATTTTATACACGAGGAAATTAAGACACGAAGGGTTTGAGTAACTTGTAAAAGTGACAGAGATAGAAATCAAACCCAGAGGGTCTGCCTCCAAAAGTTGGAAGCAAGGTTGGCCACTGTGGCTTCTTGGAAGGTTTGGCTCCCATTCTCTGGAATCTGAGTTAGCTGTGGAAGGTCCGAGCTTATCTATCCTCTCACGTAGAAGCCAGCATGGGCTTTGCACAAAACTGATGCCCACTCACTTGTTAAATGAATTCACTTATGGAAAGAGTCCCTGGAAAGTTATGAAGAAGGAATAGACGTGTCCCAGGTTAGCTTTTTGGACTGAACCGAGGGTGTACGTTTTTTTTACACCCGTTTCCATTCTATCCTCTTGGACAGAATGAAAAGTTCTGACCTCTGGCACTTCTTCATGATGTTTCCTTATTGTAGCTCCCAGTCAGTTTGTGTGGACGATGCTTTTCCCAAACATCTCTCAGAGGTCAGCTGGAGCGGGGACGGGGCCTGTGATGAGCAAGGAGTCTGCAGGAAGGCCCACTCAGCCCCCAGCAGAGCACCTGGTAAGTTCCACTTCACTTTGCTGATTATCCCTCTCTGAGAAGATAGAGAACTCAATTTTGACAAGGAAGCAAGAGCTAGCCCCTGAAATGATCTTGCTTTCGTGGCATGTGTAATAGCCAAAGATGGAAATCTTTGTATGTAGTCCAGAACTCCTGGCTGTCATCCTCCACTCCTCCTCCTCTGTCACACCCTCATCCAGGGCCGCGGAGAAAAGCTGGGCTTGTCCAGCCCTCGCTCCGCTGCTTGGAAGTGTACCTGCTCATTGGGGTGTACTTTTCTAACGCACAGAAAGACCCTGAATAGGCCAGCTGGGGCCCTGCCCACACCAGTCAGTCAGCCAGTCCTGGATGAGCCTACTCTTCTAAATTTCTCCCCCCATCCCGGCCCCTCCATCCCCACTCCTGCTGCCTTACGTATCATCATTTCTCACAAGGGGGTCCCTAGGCTTCCTTGCCTCTGGTCTCACCCTTCTCCAATCCAACCATCACATCAACACCCTGGGATGAAAACCACAATCATGCCACTTCTCCTCAGAAACCCCTTCCCCTCAAAGTAAAATCATAGAAGCTGGGCACATGAGGCCCCCAGTAAAGCTCCTCCCGGCCTCACCTCCCACTCTGTCCCCTACTTCTTGCAGCTGCCAATGACACCTCTATGCCTTTGCTCCAGCTGTCTCATCTGTGTAGAAGGTCCTTTCCACCATCCTTCACACCCCTTCCTACCCAGACAACACCTTGTACTCCCAGATCAAATATCAACCCCTCCTGGAAGAAGTCCTGGGCTTCCCTCCTTCCCTCTGAAGTCAATGCTTCTCTTCTTCACATGTCTTCATCAGAATGGGCACCATCCTATGCAGCAGCAGCTTTCTGACCATCTCTCTCACTTCACTGCTAGCTCTGTGAAGGAGCGACTCTATCTTGTACATCTCTGCACCCCCAGCTCCTAGCAACGTGCAGAGCTCAGATTTTACAAAAACATGTACAAAATACAGATGGAGAAGCACAAACCCAAGGGTGTATTCCCAAGAGTTGAATGGGCCCATAGGAAATGTGCCATAGATGCCAAGAGACGAGACTCAGGAAAGGTGCTCAAGACAAGCAGAGTTCTTTAAAGTTGTGCTCTGAGCCAGGAGAGTCAGTAGAAGGAAATATACTGGAGAACACGGGGCAATGTTAACAAACAGTTACAATAAGGCTGAGATTCTGCTAACAGAATACAATTTTACTTTGATATTCTCCATTAGAGAGAATGGCCTTCAAACTGGGAAGCGAAGAGTGAAAAGAATTAGTTGCTGCCCAGCATAGTGAAAATGATAGCATGAGATAATCTTACTTGTGTTTCTGAGCATTGACTGCACATTGGGCTCACCCAAGGAGGTTAAAAACTCACTGGCCACACCCCAGACCAAGGGTGGGACCCAGCTGTCAACAGCTTTCAGCCTTTCTCAGTCAATGTTGAGAATCTCTGTTTTCATTTTTTTAATGGAACTCAAACCTCCAGCCCCAGATGAATTATGGCTCAAGAAACTTAAGGATCTCACAGCAGAGAAAACTTGGACAATAGGAGTGAGGCCAGAAAACTGGAGATGGGAAAACGCTTCCTTGATATTCACAAAGAAGAAAAAAAAGAGTATCGTGGAAACTGCTGAAGTTAAGCTCCAGGTTGATTCCTGGCATGTTCTAGAACTTTCATTACAAAGACAACTTAGGAACATTACCGCGTCCCATCATGTCAATAGCATTAAACGAGTGTTAGCTGAGGTGGAGCAAGACGTCCTCAAGTGATCTCCTCTCCCTGGGTGGGGCCTCCAGGTTGGCAGATCAGGGGAGTGTGGCCAGGTGGTGTGCCCTGTGTAGCTTCCTCAAAGCAGAGACAAGCCCTAAGGGGCTCCTGGTGGATGAGGGTCTGCACAGGCATTTCCTATCTGTGCCCATCATAGAACGGCATAAGGGAGGCCCAGCATCTTTATGGGTTTACTGAGCTTTACAGTAGTCAAAGCACTTTGACACACACTTGTTCACACAATTCTTACAGTAACCCTGAGGCGACAGACATAGTTGACTCCACCCTCCAGAAGAAACAGACTTGAGGACGCCCAGTGACTTGTCCAAAGTCATGGAATGAGAAAGTGGTAATGCCCAGTTCCAAAGCCAGGCCTTCTTGCTATTTGGAGCCTGTCTTCCCACCACTGTGCCCTCCGGCTTAGGAGCTTTGGTGATGGATTCTTGGTGATGCCTGTAACTGCTCGTGCCCAAGCCAGAACTCCAGAGGAAATCCTCACGGACACACATCAGGGCCCCATCTTACCCTATGGGAACAGAAATTTAGGGCGTTGATGGCAAGCAGCGTAAGGGATTACGGAGTGGGTGCTGAGGTTTTTGTTCTATATAGGTGGCCAGGGAACGCTTCCCTGAGAGGGTGACAGTCAAGCAGAGGCCTGAAGAAAATGAGAGAACAAGCCGGAAAACAGTGCTCCAGGCAGAGGCACTGCAAGGACGAAGGCCATGAAGTGGGACTTGCTCAGTGTGTTCAACAAGCAGCAAGAGCCAGTGTGGCCGAGGGGGTGAGATGAATGAAGGGAGGCTGAAGAGGAGGCCCGGGCCAGACCAGCCGAGTTTGCTCTGCCGCTTACCTAAGTCTGAACACCGGGCCAGTCTCTAGGTTTTCTGCCATGAGTGATGCTGCTGTGCATTTGTGCACACTGTTCTTCTGTACAGTTCTTTCAGACAATGACCTGGTGCAGCGGGGAAGACCCCCAGTGGTTTAAGAAGCCGGCACGCTGCCTCAAGCCCCAGCTTTCCTGACCGATGAGAGAACCGGCACATTTCTCCTCTCTCCAAGTCTGTTTCTTCTGCTTTGAAATAAAGGTTTGGGCCACGGGGTACCTTTGAGATCTTTCAAGTCTATTCCAGAAGGTATCATCCCTAAGATGCTGGAGGTACTTTATAGCTCCAGTCCTGTTGGCGGATGGTGTGGAAAGGGTCAGTCCACTGACAGAGCCCCACAAAGATGGTTTTGGTTTCCACACAGATCCACCAGCACTGGGGGTGTGTGAGTGAGTGTGTGTGTGTGCTTACTTTTTATTTTAATTTTTCATAAGGATGTTACATAATGTTATTTATATTACATTTCTTGAATTGCTATAGAGGCTGTGCATTTTTCCACATAACGAGTAAGTGTTCTGTATTTTTCCTCGGGAATAAACAGTTCATTACCTTTGATTCCTTACTAAGCGCATTTTGGGGTAACCAATAATCTGCTTTTCAAACTACTGCTTCTAAGAACGTGTGATGCATAATTTTATATGTCAACTTCACTAGGCCATGGTACCCAATTTTTGGTTAAACACCAGCCTAGATGTTGCTGTGAAGGTTTTTTTTTTTTTCAATTTATTTTCATGCATGTGAGGAAGATTGGCCCTGGGCTAACATCTGTGCCAATCTTCCTCTATTTTATGTGGGACACCACCACAGCATGGCTTGACAAGCAGTGCTAGGTCCACGCCCCAGATCCAAATGTGTGAACGCCCTGGTCCGCTGAAGCAGAGTGTGCAAACTTAACCACTACACAACCAGGCCGGTCCCCTGTGAAGGTATTTTTTTTTAATGTGATTGACAAACCAGAAGACTTTAAATAAAGCAGATTACGCTTCATAATGTGGGTAAGTCTCATCCAGTCAGTTGAAGGCCTTAAGAGAAAAGACTGAAGTCCTCTGAGCGAGAGAGAATTCTGCCCCCAGACTGCCCTCAGACCTGAGCGGCAACGTCAGCTCCTGCTGGAAGTGCCGGCTTGCAGGCCTGTCCTGTCCTGTCGGTTTCAGACTTGGCAGCCCCCAAAATCACGTGAGCCAATTCCCATGAGCCCCTTCTCTCCGTCTCTCTCCTCGTTTCTCTCTCTCTATAAAAACACAATGTTTATTACACTATGGTATGTTACACCATATACGTGTACCATCATATAGGTAGACAGACACATATTAAACACATCCTATTGGTTCTATCTCCCCAGAGAAGCCTGACTAACGCAGAGTGTGAATACTCCTTGATGCCTGAGGTCTGTACACCTGTGGGAGACCCGAGATGCCTGAACTAAAAGACAGCAGGGGCTGTGTGTGGTGTGGGTGGGACCTACCTCAGGGTCATCTGATCAAAGCTTCCTCTTGCCACCATGACTGACTCCTGTTCCCACCAACCTAACACACGGACCTGGCCTGCTCCTCGTCTCCCAGGTGGACAAAAGGGCACAGCAAGAGCGTATTTGTCCTCCTGCATCTCAGGTAACATCTCCACCCAGATCATTCCTGTTTTCTTGTACATTTGTCGGAGCATAAATTCCCCGTGCCTTCTCTTTTGTAGGCACTGGATTACTTTTTAAAATTTAGAGTTCTCCTAAACCCCACCTATTCTTTTGATCAGAATTCTCCGGTTGTATTTTTCTCATTTATGATGAGAACATATTCCTTTCTAACTTGTAGATGTCTATCTGTCTCTGATTCCAACACCACCCCCTTTATGAGCAACCTTTGTTTAGCGACCAGATGGTAGATGCTCAAGAAATGCTGGGCGTGAATCCTAACCCTTGCTATTTCTGTACTTCATTCTTTCATCCAACAAATATGTATTGACCACGCTATGCTCCAGGCACTGTGCTCAGGGCTGGGGAGGCAATGGTGAGGAGAGCAGATCTCCCTCCTTCCCTTGAGATGCTGACAGTTCAGTGCAGGTGACAGACGCTAATCAAATAATTTCTACAGAATATCAGAATTTCAAGGACCTTAGAAATCCTCTCATTGTCTTTCTTTCTTTCGTTTTTGAGGAAGATTAGCCCTGAGCTAACATCTGCTGCCAATTCTCTTTTTTTGCTGAAGAAGACTGGCCCTGAGCTAACATCCGTGCCCACCTCCCTCTACTTTATATGTGGGATGCCTGCCACAGCAGGGCTCGATAAGCAGTGCATAGGTCCACACCCGGGATCCGAACCGGCGAACCCCAGGCCACCAAAATGGAGCGTGCAAACTTAACTGCTACACCACTGGGCCAGCCCCAGAGATCCTCTCATTTTAAAGATGAGAAGAGAAAGGCCCCAAAAGGTACAAAACTTGTGCCAGGGTCATGCAACATACCCTCAGAGTTCCACATCCCTCATTTCTCGACTTCCTGTGCTCTCCTCTCACCATCATAAAATGAAAACAGAAAGTCATATTGATGAATACAAAATTCAGGCTGAACCATATGAAGATGTTTTTGTAGGTCAAAAACAGTTGAAGGTCAGTGATTTCATGTGGTTCAAACTAACACTTTCTTGCTTAATCCTAATAGCGATCCTGCAAAGTTAGTATTATTCCCTCACTTTACAGGAAACTGAAGCACAGAAAGATCAAGAAGCCTACCCAAGGTTTACAGCTGGTTTGTGGCCACCCTGGGATTCACAGTGAGTTCTGACTGGCACCCAATCTGAGCCCCCTCCAATCCCGTAAACCACTTCAGTAAAGAAATCTACTGCAAACAAGGGGCTGTAAGTGGTGATTACTGTGGCATTCCATCCCCTTGTGAGCCTTTCGACCCCCTGTTCCAGGCCTGGTCTCCTGCTCCATTTCCCAGGTGAGAGGCCAGAGGTAGGGGCTGGGGAACTTTAACTTCACTAGGCAACTTCACATTCCAAATGCACTGCAGGCTATCTCCTGGACGAACATACGCTTTGTTTGCTTATATGTTTCAGTTTTGTTTTTGTAACAGCTGATATATTTAATTAGCAATGGGAATTCCACGCAAAAGACATTTATTGAGAGTCTAAAATGTTCATGGGCACATAGTGAGCATCTACCATGTATCAGATATTGTACTTGAACTTGGGGAGATAAGGATAAATGTTGAACCCTTGTTTTAGGCTGAACTATGTCCCCCTGAATTGGTGTGTTGAAGCCCTGACCCCCAGTGCTACTATATTTGGAGACAGGGCCTGTAGGGAGGTAATAAGGTTAAATGAGGTCATGAGGGTGGGGCCCTGATCCAATAAGACTAGTGTCCTCATAAGAAGATGAGACATCAGACCTCCCTCCCACCCTCGCCCATGAGCACAGAGGAAAGGCCATTTGAGGACACAGTGAGAAGGGGGCTGCCTACAAGCCAAGAAAAGAGTCTTCACCAAAAACCAAATTTGCCAGCACCTTCATCACGGACTTCTAGTCTCCAGACCTGTGAGAAAATAAATATCTCTTGTTTAAGCCACCCAGTTTTTTGTCATGGCAGCCCAAGCAGACTAAACAGCCCTCAAGGGGCTCATGGTCTAGAAGCTGAGATGGATGGGGAAGAGGAGAGAATGCTGAAGGAGTGTCCTCTGGGAAGGATAGATCGGGGCTCGGCTGTGGAAGCTCAGAGGTAAGTCGCCTGCTTGAGACTTGAGAGGCAGGGAGTGGAGGAGAGCCAAGGAATGCTCCTCAGAGAGGGTGACATCTCTGCTACATATTGGAGGAGGACAAGAACTAAGCCAGAGAAAGAGAAAAGAGAAGGATGTCACGAGCACAGGGAGCAGCACAGGCAGAGACCTCAGGAAATCATAAGGATGAGTGGCAGGTCACAATTAGACGAGAACAAGAAGCACAGAGTGGAGACTCGAAAGTTCCAGGAAACTGCTGGAGAATGAGGGACAAGATGAAAAGAGAACACTACTAACTTAAGGGGAAATCAAATTCCAAGGTGGTGAGGGCAGGCAGAGAGCCAGTCCATCATCCAACGGCTCCCGCTTTGTCAGAACAAGGATCGACAGCAACGTCTCAGGCATCATGACTGCCTTTCTCCCGGCTTCCAGCTGTCATCATTTGAACCTGCTGAAGTTTCCTCCAGCCTAAAAGCTCTTGCCTGTCCCTCTCTGTCAGTCTTTCAATTCACTGCCAAGTTTCTTTTAAGAGTTAGCGATAGTCACTCCATTTCTCCTCTCCTCTTCAACCCACTGCCACTTGTCTCTTCTTGCTGAGCGTGTTAATGGCTCTTCTCTGCTGTATCTAGGGCTCACTTCTCAGTCCTCTGCCTAAGTGATTTAGACCTGTGTGTGATCTGACCCTACTGATGACTCCTTCCTTCTGGAAACGCTTGAACCTCACTGGAGTGCCTCTCTAGTCTGTGAGCCTCTTGAGGGCAGAGCCTGTATCTGATTCAGTCATTGATGAAGCACTCGTTGCCCAGTGTGGTGCTGGCCCTATAACATGCATTTGATAACAGTCCAACAAAGGCTGTCTTAGCATCTTTGACACTTCTCTATTCCAGTTGTACACCCATTACTCTGGTCTCTCATTTCTAGCTTCCTTCTCCCCACTCTCTTCCTCTATCCTCTCCTTAAATGTTGCTCTTCCGCAAGCTTCTGTCCTTGATCCTATTCTTGTTTCATGCTACCTGCTGACTTTGGGTCATCTTATTCACTACCATCTATAAGGATTCCCTTTAAAGCTACATCTCCAGGCCAAATTTCCCTCCTGAGCTGCAGACCTATAGGCCTTCCTGCTGGCCAGACAACTAGTATCTCTTGGTATCTTGCAAACACATCCAGGTCCACATGCTCATACTCAACTCACTATCCTTTCCCCCAAACCTGCTCCTCCTCCTGCTCTCCTTTCCCTGGCACCACCCTCCACCCAGTCGTGCAATTCAAACACCTGCTAGACTTCGCCCAATCTAGTTCCGACAATTCTATCTCCTTAAAGCTCTCAGACCCACTTCTGCTATCCCTGTTCATGCCACCAGCATCCCAGTTCAGGCTCTCACTGTCTCTCATCTGGTGTAAGGTTTCGACTGTGGATTACCTTCTCTGTCTCCCCTCTACACCCTTCCCATTCTTCCACCATACTGCCACCAGTGTGATCTCCCCAAAACGAAAATCAGATGAAACTATTCACATCCTCTTTGCTTTCAGAATAAATTTGAATTCTTTAGCATGACAAAGCAAGCATGATAATGGCACTTGCAGCTTCTGGTAGGTTCAGTTTGCCATCCCAGAGCATGAGCTGGCATTTGTCCAGGGGCCTGTGGTGTAGACAGGTTATAAATCCATTCTTCTAGGGTGGAGGTAGAGACCATAAATATTGATTCGTTCTAGAGACATTGCCGAATGCCCTGGCATTCTGATCTTTACTCAGCATGATTTGTGAAGGGGGGGGTCCCACCTGGATGTGCCCCCCAAGGAGATCTTGGGAGAAACATATGAGTTACTTGCCAGGACAGAGACTAGACGCAGGCAGGTGAAGGGCAAACTTGAAGGCGCTCACCTTCAGGCTCGTGCCTCGCCCCCCCTGCCTGCATGTATTCACCTTGCTTCCCATTTTATGCGTATAAACCATGAACAGAAGCCTGGATACAAATCACCAGCAGCTTATAACTTTAGAGTCTGAATGAAATTAAGTGAGCACTTTAAAAGTTCAGGTGACATAAAAATGAAACAAGGTGGCTGATGGGGGTCTAAGTTGGGTCCACCATTCTGGAAAGTGATTTGGTCAAATACATCTGGAGGTTTAAGTGCACCTGTGCCATTTGACCCAGCACATGTCCAGGACTGTATCCCAATTAAATAATAGTGTATTTAGACAACTATTCTTATGTACAAAGATATTAATGCATAATGTTTATAATAATAAAGGAAGCAACTAAATGTCCATAAAATAAAGGAAACTACATAACTGGTGGTACATTGTGCATGATTATGCATATTATGCACTATAACAGAGCCATTCAAATGACAACGATACAGACTTTAAGTAAGTATACAAGCAGACAAAATCATATTAAATACAATAAGGTGACAAAACTATACGCATAGAATAATCTCAAACTCATTAATATTCAATATATGCTTAGAAAAAAAAGACTGGAAGAAAATACACGAAAATGTTAATAAGGTTATTTCTGGGTTTGGGGATTATGGGTGATTTTTACGTGTTTTTTAAACTTTTTTCCCATTTTTTAAAAGTTTAAATAATGGTCATACATGTCTTTCATAGCAAAAAAATGAAAATTCTTTTAAGTAATTTTTTTAAGGAAAATCGATTCCGCTACCTGGGACTTCTCTTCATCATTCGTATTTACCTATAGGTTGCCACTCTTAACTCTGGCTTAGGAGGGAAACTGAGAAGTTTTTGATGAAAACCAATAGAGTTTGTTGCTGTTGTTGCTTTTAATCCTCATGAGCATCTTTGGTTCAGATCATCTCTATGGCTGCACAGCTCCGAATTCCATTGTCTGCCCAAGCAACTTGTGATTCTGACAGAAACAGGGCATATGGCGTGCGCACAGCAGCCTCTCTCGGTGCCCAGGACTCACCACAGCCACTGGCTATTTCAGCTCCCAGCTTTCTGATGTTGCAAAAAAAGCTTGAAATGAGTGCGGAGAGCCATAGCTGGCTGTTCAGGAGCCTATGTGGGGAGGGCTTTCTCAAACCCAGGAGGGGGCATGGAGGAGCCAGACACCCAGCCCCCTCACCAGTCCCAAACTCCAGAAAGCTGGATTTCTTTTCATATTAATTGATATTTCTGACCTCTGTTCATATTTACATCCACAGATAAAGAAAGCTGAAGCTCAGTTGGGACCTAGGACTGATGAAGAACAGAGAGTCAAGAATGCCCTCACTGCCTGCGTTTCCTCGTCAGTGAAGAGGGACAGCTGGATTAGGTTTTCTCCAAATGTCCTATTTTATTGATGAATGTCGGGCAACAAGGGTGCAGGTGTGCACTTACATTACCAGTGCTGTCATCAGAGCCGCCTGAGCGAGCCTGAGTGCCGAAGGGACAGTCTGGTTCTGTCTAAGCCCCCTCTTTACAGGCTGGTACGGCCGGAGCGGCACGTACTGCATTGGCAATGGGCAAGTGGCTGGTCTGCAGGCAGGGCCATCCCTGCCCCCTCCCGATTTACTACTGGGGACAATCTAATGATCCTTCTAGCCACACAGCCTGAAGAAAGCTGCTTTGTTTTCTTTTAAAAGATTTTAAATGGGATCCACAAATAAAGCAGAAATAATTAGAACTAACAGAATCATTCTCACTAATTAGAGGTCCCATTGATTGCTTGAGAATTCGCAGATTTGTTCCAAACTAGGATGCAGATATCAAACAAATGCCCTTAATTATTTTTAAAAAGTGCGTACATTCTTTTTTCCAGAATCTATCTTTCACCTAGGACAATTCATAAGAGATTTAAGAATATGCAATGGTAACACTGTAACTGATCTAGCATGATTTAAAAAGAAAACATAGTTTTAACTTCCTAAAAGAGCAGAGCCAGGAGAACAAAGGGAAAGGAGGAAAAAGGCATCCACAGAAAACACCACACACTGGAAATGATTCCAGAACACCACCACAAGCTTGCTTGCACACCCTCTTTCCTTAAATCCTCCATCCCTGAGAGTCCACTCACCTGCCTTTCTTAGGCATCTCGGGTGCTTCTCTTTCTTTCCAGTGCACTCTGCTTTCAGTGGCCGAAACCCATCCCCACCACAAAAGGAAGATGCCAACTTTCATATTCCGGACAGCCAACATGGGTTTCCAAACCCAAACTGTTCACTCAAGAAACAGCAAAGAGGAAAGGATGTTCTTTTACTCTCTTAAGCCATTATTGGACTGTTCATTATTAGAAGGATGTTTACTCATGCAAAAAAAATCAACCCACAGTATGTAATCTGGAGAGCAGGAGAAAGCAATTTCCACTAAACCTATAAATCCTCCTACGTCAGATGCAGGGATTTTCTGAACTGAGGTTGAAGTCCTGTGTTCCTGTTGAACAATTATTTTGGCCAGTCTAAATGAGTTCATTGTCAGATGTGAATATATTAGTAAAGGTTTGCATTTTGTTGTCTGATGAATAGAAGGAAGTACAAATGGACTAAAGCAATTTTCAAAATAAGAAACGCCAGAGGTGCTGAACTGTGTCGAATGCCATGTTAATGAGCTCCTCCCTGGATCTGTTTTAAGCTTCAAGCTATTATTATTTGCTTTAGCTGGGGGCTGGATTTGGACATCTTCCCGCCCCCTCTCCTTCTTGTGGCTGAATCCATGGAACCTCAGGGCCTCGTTCCTGGGTGGGTTGTCTATATGGCTGAGGTTGGGGGAGCTGGGGGAACAGGCTATTTTTGTCTTTGTGCACAGAAAGAGCTAAATTTCCTTGTCAGTTGTGTTATTCATAGTATGAACTTCATTAGACTTTTCATGTTTGAAAAATATCAGTAATAAAATAACAATAACCATTAAGTCTGTGTTATCCGTTGTTAAAAAGAAGACAATAGGACCCAAATGGAGCCACTTAGGCTAAGCCTCACTTCTCCAAACCTAGACTTATAGTTTTGGCTATCCCAGAAATGGAATCTTAAACCACTCGATCAGGAGTTGCCTAATCAGCACTCGCTCGGCAATCTGCCCAACAGGACCCCTGTAAAGGGGTGGAAACAATTTCCCTTCTTCCCTTCTAGATTCTTTGGCTGGTCTAATAATTAAATTGACATAAGACAGATTAACAGGAGAAAAATAAATTTAATTTTGTATGTATGGGATCCCCATAAAAACATGAGACTCAGAGAGGTGACCAAAGCAGGAGGCTTTTATATCGTTTAGACAAAGAAACAATAAATTTGTGAAGAACTGAAAAGACAAAGAGGTTTTGGCTTAGGGTAGTAAATTAGTGAAGAAATAACAAGGTTTGTTTACACAGTCTTCTCAGTGCTAAATTCCCTCTCTCTCATGGTAAGAGTGCCTTCTACGCTCCTAGAACAGGGAGAGTACCTTTCACATGAGAGATTCATTTCCTGCTTTAAGTGGGACAGAGGGTCAGAGTGTCCTTCTTGCACTGGCTGTTTCTCAAGTAAATTTACTTCAAAATAATCAATATGCCAATGTGCCACATTTTAGGGTGGCATATTCTGCTCCACTTCAGTTGGAAGAATCAATTACGCAACCAAGGCCTTGTCTGGAATGTCAGAGTTGAGACTGATGCTCATTTAACTAGGTATAACAAGCCATTTTAAAGAACAAAGCTTGGCTGTACTTATGGAGTAGTAGAAATCAGTAAATATTTGCTGCATGCATAGATGTCCATGTCTAGATTCTTTTTTTTTTTTTTTTTTGCACATGGATGTCCAATTGTCGCAGCACCATTTGTTGAAAAGACTATCTTTTCTCCATTAAATAGCCTTTGCCCTTTTGTCAAAGATCAGTTGATTATATTTGTGTGGGTCTATTTCTGGGCTCTCTATTCTGTTCCATTCATCTACTGTCTACTTTTTCACCAATCCCATACTATCTTCATTACTGTAACTTTACGGTAAGTCTTAAAGTCAGGTAGTGTCAGTCCTCCAACTTTCTTGTTCTCTTTCAATATTGTGTTGGATATTCTGGTCTTTTGCCTTTCCATATAAGCTTTAGAATCAGTTTGTCAATATCCGTATAATAATTGCTCAGATTTTGATTGAGATTACATTGAATCTACAGATCAAGTTGGAAATAACTGACATCATAACAATACTGAGCCTTCCTATCCATCAACATGGAATATCTCTCCATTTATTATGTCTTCTTGATTTCTTTCACTACATAAATAAATGGATTAATAAATACTGCCACTGAGACTTCATGTTTGGAATTATTTCTGGAATGTCAAGAACCTGATCTATACCATAGAATTTTCTTATTTTCAATATTCTCTTCTTATGAATGATTCAGGAGGCAAGCTAACATTTTTTTGAATACCTATGCCCAACAGATAGCTTGAGTAAGTCCACTTCTCCAACTGCACTGCCACGGTCCTCGTCTAGGCCCCATCAATTCTTCCCTGGACCTCTGCAACAGCTTCCTAACCATCTCCCCCAGTCCATCCTTGTCCTCCTGCCAGTTATCAATTTATTGCCTCTCAGCCCCAAGCTCACCTCTCTTTGACCTGCTTTGCGACATTAGAGCTGTACTCTGCAAACCACATTTCTTCTTGGCCAGCCAACATGATGCTAGGCTCTGCCAGAAGAGGGTGCTGGTCAGAGTCTGCAAGGCTAGAGGAGGGAGAAGAGAATGTTCTTCTTGTTTTTGTTTTTTAAGATGGCAGTGAGGGGTGCAGTGTGCAGCTGGTCTCTGCAGTGTTCTCCAAACAGCTGAGGTTCTCACGGTTCCAGTGAGCAGCCCCCAGCAGGTTTCTTCTTGCCCACGGTGGCAGGCAGCTTGTTCCTGCAGCAGCCACACCTTCTCACCAGAGCCAGAATCTCAGACGTTGCGGAACCTCCTCGAAGTTTCTAAGTTCCTTCCTTGCTTACCTTTCCCTCCCTCGAGGGGCTGCTCCCTGTCCACCTTAGAGTCTTCTGCGCTTTTTAGCAGTTAACCACCTGGCACCTGGTTAACAACTCCCCATATTAAATGTTCCCTGTTCAAATTGCTGGTGTGTTTCTGCATCTTGACTGGACCCTGACTGACACACTCCCTATGTTATTCTCCAGAGAGGAGCCAGAGTGATTTACTTTTTAAATTTGGCCCATTGATTGTCAGTGGGTATAAAAAACAGAATAAATTACAGATTTTTGCCTACAAGGTGAATGAACTCTCCACCCCCGCTAATACACTTCTGTAGTTTCCCAATGCCCTTTCAATAAAGCTAAACCCTGTATGCTGACCGTGAAACCCCTGCCCAGCTTCCCAAGTTTACCTGGTTTCCTTCCCCCTCTCACCATGCTCCAGACACTCTGCTAGATGCGACGGTTTCCTGCTACGATGGTCAGTATTACGTGACATTTTGGCAAGATCATAGTACCCCCTTATTTAATTAAACACTAATCTAGGTCTTGCTGGGAAGGTACTTTGTAGATGTGGTTCGCTTCTATAATCAGTTGACTTTAAGTAAAGGAGATGACCTTCTATAATATGAGTGGGCCTCCTCCAGTCAGTTAAAGGCCTTAGGAGCAAAACCGAAGATTCCCAGAAGAAGAAATTCTGCCGTAAGTCTACAGCACCAGCTCCTGCCTGAGAGTTCCAGTTTACCAGCCTGCCCTGTAGATTTTGGGCTTTCCAGCTCCCACGATCATATAAAGTAGTCCCTTGAAATAAAGTAGGAGATAGATGATAGCTAGCTAGATGGATGGATGGATAGATAGATAGATAGATAGCAGATAGATAGATAGATAGATAGATAGATAGATAGGTAGGTAGGTAGGTAGATAGATGATAGATAGATAGTAGATAGATGATAGATAGATAGATCGATCAATCGATCGATCTGTATCCTACTGGTTCTGTTTCTGGAGAATCCTGGCTGATACTCCTGGGTTCCTCACACTCAGCCTGGGGCCCTTCCTGGAGCTCTCTCCCCACCTCATGGGGCTGGCTCCTCTCATTCTTTGTCTAACTGAACACTACCTTTTCGGAGAAGCCCTCCCTGGCACTCTACCTGAATTGATTTTGTATCTGTTCTTCTCCCTTAAAGCATTTCTGACTACTTGTTTATTGTTGATCTTCCCTACTAGGACTTTAACCATCAATGAGGCATATCTGTTTTGCTTATTACTTAGAACCTTAGCTGGCTCACAGTCAGTGCTCAATAAATGTTTAGTGAATGAATAGACGAACCTATCAAATGCCCAATGCTTTTATTTCCTAAGGAAGAAAATGTGCAAACGCCTTTAAACTTTTGTCTAATTTTGAAGCATTCTAAAATATAGGAAACAATTTCAGATACTCATGTATTAATACATTTTAGGAAAAATTTCAACAACGTTTGAAATAAAAATTATTTCTGATTAGCATTGATTTAATTTTTAAACACAGTATCATAATTGCCCCAATTTTCTCTCCTTGAAAGTTCATCCGAATCCAAACCCTTCTGTGTAGCTCGTCTCCTGCATAAAATGACCTCTCCTGGCCACAGCAGCTCACCTGGAGCTCAGTCTCTCCGTGCACTGACAGCGCTTATTCTGTACCACGCGGGTTTAGCATTTAATTATCTGCTGCCTAAAATGACTGGCTGCTGGTTTCACATATGCTGTATTAGCCTTCTTTCTCTAAGGACAACAGAAATGTCATCTCTGTATCTTACTCATCTTTTTATCACACCAGCACCCAGCACAAGACTTTGTGCACTGTTGGCTAAAAAATTAAATTCTTTTTGATTCTTTATTTCTCATAATTATGGTCAAATAAGACATATTTTGTGAATGCTTAGGCCAATTATCTGGTGATTCTCTGAACAATCCCTCAAACATTTGGTTAAAATTCTTGAGACGCTGGGCACCTTGGTCTCCTTCCTGTGAGGCAACCCCAACTTTCTGCTTTGGCAAGCTCTTTCTACCAGGAGCCATAACTGGTTTTTATATTTTTTAAGAGCTTTTTTTTTTTTTTTTTTTTGGTGAGGAAGATTGGCCCTGAGCTAACATCTGTGCTAATCTTCCTCTATCTTTACATGTGGGATGCCACCACAGCATGGCTTAATGAGTGGTGTGTAAGTCTGTGCCTTGGATCCAAACCTGCAAACCCCAGGTGGCCAAAGTGGAGTGCACGAACTTAACCACTATACCACCAGGCTGGCCCCCACAGCTGGTTCTTAAAATGTGACTTTTAGAGGCTGGCCCAGTAGTGTAGTGGTTAAGTTTGTGCACTCCACTTCTGTCTCCTGGGGTTCACAGGTTTGGATCCCAGGCACAGACCTACACACCGCTCATCAGGCCATGCTTTGGCAGCATCCCACATACAAAGGTAGAGGAAGTTTGGCACAGATATTAGCTCAGGGCCAATCTTCCTCACCAAAAACAAAAAGTAGTTTTAGTTTAAATTAATTAGAGGTTATAAACATGAACTAGCAATGAAGAGTCAGTAAGATAAAACATATATATAGCCCCTTACCCCTGAAAAAGGGAACAAAGGAAGGCAGCACTAAAGATTTCTATTTTTTAAAACTACCATGGTTTTCTATTTTTAGATGACTTGAATTTTTCCCTCTGGCAGGCTAGAAGTAGATATGAAAGTACACGGTATTTTCTGCTCAGTCATCGAGATCTTGGGTGACTTTGGACACGTTTTGACTTGCTGTACTGCAGTCTCTGACTTGGAGACAATCCTGCTAAGTTTCAGATCTACCAAGGGCTAGGAATAAATAAAAAATATCTATAAGGTGCTGTGTCAACGAAAAGAATAGTATTACAGAAATAATACACAACAACATCCACACAAAACCAATAGATAGTTTAAAATGAAAAGCAGTCAAAAGTAGTGGTTCTCAGGGCCAGCCCGGTGGCATGGTGGTTAAGTTCACGTGCTCGGCTTCAGCAGCCCAGGGTTCATGTGTTCAGACCCCAGGCACGGACCAACACACCACTCATCAAGCCGTGCTGTCAGCATCCCACATACAAAATAGAGGAAGATTGGCACAGAGGTTAGCTCAGGGCCAGTCTTCCTCACACACACACACACACACACACACAAAGTAGTGGTTCTCACCCACTGTTTCAGCCCACCCAGCAGACTGGAGACCACTGTGTGGCCTTAGGGAAACTGAAGGGAGTCCACCAATCCATATGGGTACTGTATCTGTGAAAAAATAGAGGTTGACTCAACCTGGCTTAAACAGAAATCTGTTATCTCACAAAACAAAAAGTCCAGGCTACAGGGTTGTTTGATGTAGTGGTGTCATCAAAAACCCAGGTGCCAGGTGGCATAGTGGTTAAGTTTGTGCACT